GGGGTCGGAGAGGAAGAGGAAGGCGAATTGATGAATCGTAAAATAAGAGAAAATAACAAATCAAATAGATTAATAGTTTTTAACCGATCAAAAGTAAATAAATTAGTAGTAATCAAGGGGACAACAATATTCTTGCCAAAATAAAGAACTACACTTAAATTATTATTCCAATGGCATATGATTTAAACAACGGTTTTGTTTGATACGGAGATCAGATGGGTATCGAACTTTGGAGTTGAGTTTTGGATTCTATCTCTTTGTTTCTTTTTGGGAACACAGAACTGACTGCCACATAGAGAGAGTTAGGTTAGATTAATAGAATATAAATAACATTTTAATAAGTGTGCATGAACAATAATGCATTGATCAAACTACATTTTCGCTTCTTAAAATTAATTTCGATTGCTTGTTTGAAGTGATAAGCAATATACTATCGTATGAGTGGAGACGTTATATTCGAGCATAATCAAAACATATCTTCTCAAGACTTTTTGAAGGTTTTCTAAGGATTTTTTTGATGTAATGCATAAAAGGTATATCCGAACAGCACTCAATAAGATACATTGAGAGCACTCGTCGATAATTATTGACATGTGCACAAATAATTTGGTTGATTACAACAAACTCACCAAGTGTTTGATGAAATTCCGCAGCGAAAAAACTAAAAATAATTTGCTCTCTTCTCGTATTGTTCTTATTAAAAAACTTAAATCTTTAATACGATATCCTCATTGTTTAAATTCTGAATCTTTCACCATATATATATATAGTAAACTCTGATAAATTATTAACATCACGTGACAATATTATTATTGCATCGTAAATTTCTTGCATGTGTGGAGCATTGCAGTGAACAAAAACTCAGGTTAATATAATGTTTTTTTTATTATTACTTTATAGACCTAGTGCTTTCCAAAGCTGAATTCTCTGGTTCGCTCAGATGCAATGCAATTCTGCATCTTCGTGATCCTCCTGTACCAGAAAGTAATTAAGCAAGGAGATCAGAGCTTAAACCTGTTGCCACGTTTGGGTTTTTGTTTGGTACCGATTAGTACACTGTAGATTCCATATGCAGCAATTTTTTTGAAACATATGCAGACCAACGGCATAAAAAATTGTACGAACTCACTTGGAACGAAGTAGTACTAGGTCTTTGGTTTCCGTTAGCAAGGTATAAAATATAGATGATATCGAAAATATCGGTAGTCCAAAAATACGGAAATTTCGATGGAAATATCGGGATATTATCGATATCGATAAAAATTGAATAAAAACTATGGAAATTGTAAGAAAAACTTAGAAATTTTTATTGAAACTTTGCAGGATGTTTATTTAGTCAATTATCTATTAGTTTATCACAAAAAATTGGAAGGAAGTGTATTGCATGATGAATTTAACTGATTTAAGTTGATTATATAGCGAGCTAGCAAACATTGTGAGTGTAAAAAATATGTAGTAATTAATGAAAGAAGTTTAAACACACCATAATCATTTATATATAATGAATTAGTACAATATTTTACACTTTATACATTGCATGGTAAGATACATGAGTGATTTAGTACTACATAGAGTTCGTATCAAGGTCTAAAATATTGATGATATCGGAAATATCGGTAGTCCAAAAATATGGAAATTTCGAATGAAATATCAGGATAATATCGATATTTTAGACCTTATCCATGAGTACTCCATACGTTTACCCATACAAGCACAATTGAGAAAAGAGAATTTTAACGAAAATTTTCGGTATTGTTCACTTTAACGAAAAATCGTATTTTTACACTAAAAAATTAATTATGGTACTATTCACTTTACTCTTTATTTTGTCCTTATCGTTAAAACTCAAGGTTTTAAAACCATTTTCATTAGTTTTCTTTTGAGAAAATCTCAAGTACGTGTATATTAAGAAGGATAGTGACGAATTTACGAATTTTTCTTTTTGGAGCACGATGATGAAGTTTTAAGATTTATTTTATAAACGACGAAGGCCCAAGCTAACCAATTTAAATGCTTTTTGCTCAGTAAGATAAGATAAAATTGTATTGTCACACAAAATTCGGTAGGGCACTGAGTTTGTTATTCTGCATCTACAATCTCTCTCACAAATACCGTGAGCCTCTCACATTTTAGTTAATCCAGCCTCATTTGTGGAATTGTGGCAATTTTTTATTGAATGACCCTGGAAGTTAATTTAGTTTGCTTTCGTTTGATCGACGTATTGACTAGTGTTTATGTTGTACTTGAATCTTTATCAGTGAGCTACTGAAAGGGGAATCAGAGGGGCTGTTGAAACTTCCCGCAGACAAGGCTTTACTGGACGATCTCGAGTTCCGCCGCGATGTTGAACTTTATGCAAGGTATTCATCTGTATGGAAAATTGGTAAATTCTGGGAACTTTAATATCTTCGATGAAATGTTGAACAACGAAATAAAGCTTTATCTTTCTGCTCATGCAGAATGAGGATGCATTTTTCAAAGACTACGCAGCGTCGCACAACAAACTATCAGAGCTAGGCTTTACTCCATCTTCCAGTGTGAAGGCAGCTGTGAAGACCAATACTATATTGGCACAAGTGTAGGGGGAGTTGCTGCTACTGCCGCTGTGGTGACCCTGAGTTACTTATACTACCAAGTTCATAAAAATATTTGATTCAGCGAACATATTCGTACTTGTTGTAAGCGGGACTTGAACTTTGCTGTAATAAGTTGTAAAATTCTCGACTTAAGCTTATAAATGACATGTTTCCGATATTCATGATCACGTTTCTTGATTTTTCGTAGCTTGACGAAGAAATATGAACAGCATGAGAAAGAAGGTGCAAGATGCTTCCTTGCCCTCTCAAAACAGCAAACTAATTCTTTTCTTGTTTACTTGGGAAACACTCTTGTTATCATTTCCCCTTTATTCTGATTCTTCTTCTAAGCCCCTATATACATACACGGCAGCAAAATCTTTGTCATTTAGAATTGCAAATTCAGTATTCCTTTTACGTTTCTACGCTCTCATGGCCGCGCCAATTGTAAACAAAGAGTACCTCCAGGAAATCGAGAAGGCTCGCAGAGACCTTCGTGCTCTTATCTACAGCAAGAACTGCGCTCCTATTATGCTTCGTGTAGCGTAAATGTTTTTCCTTGATTCTTCCTTAACATGTTTCCCCCATTAAATTTCCTTTGCTTGCTCGAGAAAGTTAGCTATTTCAGTGTACCGAACTTCTGATACGCTTATAACCGTTGTATTTTAATAGGTGGCATGATGCTGGAACATACGACGCTAGAACAAGGAATGGAATACCTGGAGGGCCTAATGGCTCTATCAGGAACAAGGTAGAGTTAAACCACAGTGCAAATAAGGGATTGGAAACTGCAGTTCAGATATGTGGTAAGCTTTCGATTTCATACGCTTTAATCTCTCAATTAAACTCTCTAATATGTTTGCTTTTGACTTGCAGAAGAAGTGAAGGCCAAACACCCTAAAATCACATATGCTGACCTCTACCAGGTTTTCACTTTCAAATGTTTTTATTGGTTTAAGGGTCTATTAGGAAGTGCTTTTAATGGCTAAAAGTGCTCTCAGACCAACAGAAGTGATGCAATTTGATAAAACCCTCAATGTGACTAACTTTGAAGGCTTGTCTTCCAGCTTGCAGGGGTTGTTGCTGTAGAGATCACCGGAGGTCCTTCCATTAACTTTGTTCCGGGTAGAAAGGTATGTGTGTCGGAAAAGTTTCGTATCACCTACCTAACTTGTTCTTGTTTAATACCTATCTTTACCTCTCAATCAGGACTCTAACCAATCTCCACCTGAAGGCCGCCTTCCAGATGCCAAACTTGGTATGTCATCAACCGTGTTCATCTGAGTTTTGTATCGTGAAATGGTTTCGAAATCTGCAATTGTTCGATTTTGTTAATAGGTGCATCGCATTTAAGAGAAGTTTTCTACCGCATGGGCCTGTCCGACAAAGACATTGTGGTATTATCGGGAGGCCATACATTGGTAAGTTTCTCTCCATCCGTAGTAAAAGTAGAAAATGTTCTTCATTTCACTCAACAGAGCGTTAAAATTTAGAATTCATCTTTTTCTGTTGTTGGTTGTGTAGGGAAAGGCAAATAAGAGATCTGGCTTTGAAGGCCCCTGGACAAAGGAGCCTTGGAAATTCGACAACTCATACTTCGTGTAAGACATTTGTGAAAAGGTTTATCTCCTTTTGTATGAAGTAATCAATGGATATCTCATTCGAATAAAACCATACGTGGGAATGTAAATTCTGTGATCAGGGAACTACTGGAAGGGCAAACGGAGGGACTCTTGCAACTTCCGACGGACAAGGCGTTGGTGGAGGATCCTGTTTTCCGTCGCTATGTTGAGCTATATGCTAAGGTAGAAAAGATGAAGCTGTTTCAAAAATGTAAACAGTTTGACACAGTTATGATGGGAAATTCATACAATATATAGTTGATTAGTTTACCATTGTTCATGTATATGTGCAGGACAATGATGCATTCTTCAGGGATTATGCAGTATCACACAAGAAACTATCAGAACTAGGCTTCACTCAACCTTCTTTGGCTCCGAAAGTCCTAGTTACTCTTACGATTGCTGCAATAATCGCTGCATTGGTGTACGATAAATGCAAAAGTTTCGTCCAAGACATGAAGACTCTCGTTTAGGGCAGTAACGTACCTATCCGTCGTTTGTATATATACCCGTCTCTCTGTCTTTCTCATTACGTGATTATTTAAAGTGAAAACTAAATAACACGGAACCTGAAGACTTGGTCACCACAGCATGTATTATATGTTCAACACTTTATTATAATCTAGATTGGTTTTATTGGTCAAAACTTCGAACTTGCTCATAGATATTTCCATAATTTCCCTCAAACGGTTATCTTTTGATGGCTACCCCGCAACCAGAGAGGCCAACCGCGCTGGTCTCAGCAAAGGTCCCGGGAGTTCTGGCCGTCATGAAAAACAGCAAAGGGAAGAAGCATGAGAACTTAAAACAAAAATTAAAGAGGTTTTCTTATTCTGTTGAAAGACTTGGCATGAATACATAGAATCATCAGCTTCTGTAGAGTGGATTAAACTGACAAATTACAACTTCAACTACAATGCCAGAAGATAATTAAAGGGGAGAACAAGTTCATCTCCAGCCGAAAAACACTATTTAACTCCTCAAATTAAACGAATTAAGGTAATATTTAACTCCTCGAATTAAACGAATTAAGGTAATTAAGGTAAGCAATTATAGTTAGTTTAGGCCCTTGGACTTAGAGACAGTGTAATATCCTGAAAAACCCTGAGCCTCTTCTCAACCTTCTTCGGAAACATCCCGGAACTGTTGCTGATTCCAATTGCGTTCCCAGCCTCATTTGTCGGGTCAATGACCGCGGCGATGATGGCCTCTTCGAAGTCCTTGTTGTCGGGCAACAACCCTGTCAACTCATTCCCTGGTTCTTCAAGAGAGAGCCTTCTTCTGGTCTTGTTCTCTGGTACGCCCAAATCCACAGCAGGTTTCGTGATCTCAATCGCCTCGGTCACTCTCATTGAATTAGCAGCATTCCCAGACCTTGTCCTCTTAAGGGTCTCAGCAAATTGAGAGGCGGTTGGGGGAGCCGGAATGAACTTTGCGAAGTAAGGCTTTGCAGCCACATTCAATGAGTTTGGTTGAGGGACTTGATTAATACTTTTAGTCTGAGGAAATCCTATCTTCCGGTTCGCGAAAATGTTTGAAGAATTGACATTCTCATCAGCAAACTCATCGGGCTGAGATTTCACAGACTCGGCTGTTGCCGGCAGGCTTGTATGGTGGTGGTCTCTGCAAGGCTGAGGCTGCCAAATCGACGAAGAACCCAGGAAGGCATCGAAAAGTCTGCTCTGCTCGACGCGGTCTCCACCCTTGTTCATCATCTCAGACTCGAGATCCTTGAGCATCTGCTGAGCCCTCTCATAGGCCTTGAGATGGGAATCCGTCCCTCTTGGACCATCCGCAACTGCCGGCTTAACGCGGCGGAGATTCTCCTTAGCCTCGGAGATTCTTCCTTGCTTCATTAGGCAGATTCCGAGGTTGCACATCTTGTTGTTATCCGGCGCAATTGTGAGTGCTCGGCGATAAGCATCTTCTGCTTCAATGTAGTTGTTCTGCTGCATCAAAGCCCACCCCAAGTTCCCCTGAGACACACATAAAATTAATTAGTACTAATTTTCGGTGATTTCGGAGTTGAATTAAACAAATATTTGGTTTTGGTTTTGGATTGCAGTCTCACCAGTAATCTAGTGGCTTCTTGTTCCACAGAGACCTGAAATTTCTTCCCCTGAGATCTGGCGGTTTTCGTGCGCTTTCCGTTGAAAGCCATCCCTTGCTGAATCAAGTACAACTTGTGCCTCAAAAGTGCTATTTGGTCATCCAATCTCCCACATCTCTATAGAAATTAAAAGTCACCCAAAATTATCAGTAAATTGTAAACATTCAACTTTATGAAATTCTTTTTGGGGTTTTCAAAAAGTACCTTGTAAAGATCCAAAAGGATGTTGTCAAGGGACTCCTGGGCTTGATCCGAACACCGGTGTCTCAACGACTTGATGGCTTCGATAGCTTCTTCCGCCCGGTTCTGTTGCTTCATCACAATCGCCATGTCCTTCAAAGCACTATCCACTCTGTCCCCAGAATTAATGGCTGCCCAAAACAGCGGGATTGCTTTCTCCGGATCCTTCTCCACCAGCTATTCAAATTTTGAAACCCATCATTAAAAAAATGAAATACAAAAAAAAAAAAAAAAAAAAAACCATAAATCAAAACCAGAAAAATTCAAGTTTTGAAAACAAATATTTGAAAAGGACCCAGAAGATTTATCTACCTGAACATTCTTGGCTCTGACATAAGGACTGTCGCCTACCGGGACTTTGTGAGTCACGTGAAACAACTCCGTCCCGACAGAGCGAGTCCTCGAAACTCCGAGAGGCTTGGCCGGAGAGGAAGGAGCAGACTTGGTGGGTCTGAAACCAGGCGGAGCATTCCACATATCCTGCAACATCTTTGAAGATTATGAATGATTTGATCTCACAATGGAAGCGAAATCTAAAGATGAAGAAGAAGATATGTGGAAGGCTTTGGATTGAAGAGAAAGAAAGTCTCTGAGGAGAGAAGAAGATTGGAGGCGAGGGAGAGGGAGAGAGAGAGAGAGAGGGAAGGGAAGGGAAGGGAAGAGGATGAAGGAATCTGTGTGACTTGTGGGGGTAATATGAGTAAAATATATGGATTCGAATTTTTGACCGTTGGGGGTTACCGTTCTACAACTAGCCGTTGGGGTGTGTGTTTGTATAATGTTGCGGAAAATGATCCTATGCGCGTATCCGCACCGCTGTAATGTATGGTCATACATTCATACATGATTGGTCTGATTCTTTGAGGGTATATATAAGATTGCGAAAAATCATAAAGAAATAAAATTTGAAAAAGACATGATTGGAACTGTTTATATTATAACTCACTGTGTAAAAATTATTTTTGTAAATATATATATAGATATATATGTGAGATTATTTAGTCATTGAATAATATAAAAATAAATGGTCAATATGGATAAAAGTATTGCTTATTGTCTATCTATTTTAATAGTTGACTAACTAAACAACTTTAGTTTTAACTAATTTTTTTTTTCTTTCAAAAATGATCTTTGTAGAGTGGTTATTAGAACAAAGAACTCCCATGTTTTGCTTCAAACATTTTTCTTAAGGGACAAGGATCCTCTCAAGATCCTTTGTCTGGGGATCCTGGCAAGATCCCTCGTGATCATGACCGTTCATCGTATATCGTGAAGTCATTTTTCATTAAGTACTATTTATATTTAATTTTAAATTAAATAATTTATGACCGCAGGACGTACGATAAACAATCACTGGATTCCCTGGATCCCCAGGAAAAGGATTAGGCGAGGATCCTTTACCTTTCTTCAGGAATTTAGGTTAAAAATTCTCATTTCCTTCAAAAGGAATCTGATATAATGTTGCCCCAATCCGCCCCGGAAAAATATTTTACCTAGTTATAAGCCCAAATCAATCTCCACCAGACGGCCATAGGCCCACTGGGCCCAGTTTCTCAGAAAGAGAGAAAAAAGTTTCACCCAAGCCCAACATTATGATCAGCACACCCAGCTCTAACAAAATTCTGAAATTTTCAATTATATTGCATCCTAAAAAAGAAAAAAGGGAAAGTACAAGGATAGATGAACTTCTGCATCACATTACAAATGTCCCACAAACGAGATCACTACATACAACCGGATACGAGAAGGCGGTAGCCATGGCAGCCAAAGGCCTTGACCATCAAGCAACTGACGGCCACCACTTTGGACTACAGCAACCGGTCCCGAAAACTGTCTGTTTTGTCAAGTCTAGCCGTACCCGAGCTTGATGATTCGCCCATTGCATCTGGGGAAGCTGCTCTCTGGGATGCATCTTTCTTCAGAGAAGTTGGTATACCTGAAATTTCCTGAAGAATAAGAGGAGAGTATCGGTTAACATAATCTATACGCGGGGCAAGAATCCGACAGGGCAGGTCTATCCTCTCTTGAGATAACCTTTGGTCGCCATCACTTCAAATGGAGCAATAGACCTCATTTTATATGCGTTCCTCATTACATCGTTGTCAAAGCAATATAGAAATAAATGGCACTATTGCAAATGAGTAACGTAAAACAATCAATTCCAGATTACCTTCATCAGATGCAACCTCAGGTCACAAGGTCGAACTTGATTTCCAATGCATGCCATCACAAATTTTGAATAGTTATACAAAACATCAGCAGCGGCTTGCTTTTTCTGGTCAATCTATATAAACAAAGGCCAATGCAAAGCGAATTAGAGTCGTTTCGGCAGTTAAAAAGTATCTCATCAAACTTCCAACACCAAAAACCAGTTGATTTAAAACATAAACGAAAGTAACAAATTCAAACTATAAAAACCTCTTTCCGCCAGCAGTACACAAACTAATCAAGACATTCGAACTTGAAATGGTACCAATGGTTCCGTCACCAAATTTAAGCATATCAGTCAACAAAAGCAATGACAAGTGAAATCTACTATATTATCAATAGAACAGACTATATGTTCGTGGAGTTTCCAAACTCGATCATAAAAGCCGGACCTAATCTAAACAGCTTCTGGCTGTCAATTCACCTTAGCCCTCTAGTTCCTTAGCTAATCGTGAGGAAAGTGAAGATGGAGTACTATCGTGCCCCATTGGAACAAGGGGCACATACAAGGGGCACATCGAAAACACTAGACCAACAAAGACCGGAATTATGGAACAATGTCATTCCCCATTAGACCAATAAATTGTTACCCAAAACAGTTCAGACATGCATATTCTTACTGCATTTTACAGAACTAACATATCGCGGCCATCTCAAGGCGAATGTTGAATTATTGATGGTGCCCGGAACGAGGCTCAAATAACTGGAGGGGCGGGGCTAGTAAGCTGGTAAACGTTTTCTCCCCATTGCAGGCGGAAGCTACGGCGATTCGAGCAGGATTAGCTTGGAGGGTGGAAAGGGGTCTACAAAATTTCATCCTTGAGAATGATTCACTCCAGATCACTTGGGTTCCTGAATTTGACGACTGTTGGGCCTAATTTCCGATCAAACCCAACTTTTATGAATTGGGGCGTTTGAGAGTTTGATTTGGGTTGGTTTATATGTAAAATTCTCACACAAATTCGAAGCTCTAGAGGGTAGGGTTGAAATTAATGAATTCCCAAATAAACGAAAGTAGGATTTTTAAGTTGGAATTAGGTGATGATTCGAGGGTTAGTTGAAAGAGAGAAGAGATTAAGGTCGTGATAATAATATCAGAATTAAAACTGAAATCAATTTCTTCCAAATAAAAGCAAAAAATGAAATTAAGTTGGGAGTACGGACAGACAAGAGTACCTCGTAATCTTCTTTCATGGCGGAAGCTCTGGGTCTCCGTGGGGTTTCCAATCTCGGGGAAGAGAGAAGGATCTAGAAAGTAGCAAGAAACCCGCCACGAGAGGCAGTAATAGAGATTCATAAATCAATACTTTATATAATATAATTAGGAAAATGATAACAAATTGGCCTATTAGCTCAGCTGGTTAGAGCGTCGTGCTAATAACGCGAAGGTCGCAGGTTCGAGACCTGCATGGGCCATTTTAATAAGTCTTTTTCTATTTTTATTTTTTTTTGGCCAACCTAAACGATAACTTTTTAAGCGAGACTGATGGTAGTATCAAATCTGGATTTAGTTTCAAATTTACAAGTGATGGTAAGAAGGTTGTCAAGAAACGTTATTGTAGAGAGAGTTATCAAGAATGTCGTTATGGAACCAGACGGCATGCCACACTCAATATGCCAATGTGTCTGGTTTGTTTGTAATGACAGTCTTGATAACTCTCATGGTAATGGAGGGGTGGCAAGCTCTCTAGTCCTTCATCTTGATGCATCAGTGTGCTACATTTCCAATTTCGTTACAATTGGAAACGAGAGTTTTAACGGTAGACACTGGAGAGCCTGCCCGACAGGCCATTCTTGGCCGGAACAGCTAAAATAAACGCTAATGTTTACTTCTTATAGATGCCGTAAGCAATCGCAAAGTTAAAAGACAACAATTCGAGCAGTTTCGATTAAAACTTGAATAAGCAAATCTCAATCCATTTGAAGTTATAAGCTGTAATAACTAGCAATTTCGAAGCTCATGAGCATACAGAATGCAGGAGGTAGAGATCAGTTTCAGCCAAATCAAGTGCAAAGTACAACTCCAAAAGAACAGCAAGGTGGAGTTCATCGTAAATTAAAGTTGCCAAAGGAAAATACGTAAGATCATGTTTCCCTGGGAGGTCCCTTCTTTGCGGCCTCGGCAGCTGCTTTCTCTGCTTCTATGTCAGCAACAATGGCATCAATTTCAGCTTCTTCAAGTTGCTTCAGACCGTGATCCTTCGTCATCACAGCAACTTCTATGTTTTTCCCTCCACTCTCAACAACCTACAAAATGAGATTTTAGACAATTTGAACATTTATACTTCTCGGGAACAAAATATGTAACATATAGCATACAATAGTACAAATGACATGCTCTCTTCCCTAGTCTCAAGGTAAATAGTGATAGTCATGCAAAAAATTTAGACTCTAATGCCTTAATGGCGCACTAGATTTTCTCTGGTTATTTGGACCCGCAGGCAATTTGAGCAGAAGATGTGGCACGGTTTTAGTTCATCATAACTTACAATTTCACATGCTAAGCCACTGTGTCATTTCTAGTGCTGGCAATAGGCCAGTAGTGGCAGTTCTAAAATGATCAAGCTTTAAGGTCTAGAAAAAAAACTTAACTTGTCATTCACCTTGTCAGAGCCAAGTATAAATCCGCTCCTTTTCAAAACGAATGCATTATATGAACAAAGACACTGAACAAGCATCTAAAATTGCTATGCATTTTGATTTGCATATCCTATTCACCATTATGTCACATTTCAAACATTGTGTAGCCTCAGATGGACAAAATTTATTGCCTTCCCATTATTATCATTTAGAAACTTTCCCAACTAACATATAGTTTGAAACACAGAACAAAATGATGGGTCCTAAATTAATTCGTTAAATCGAATCTGGGTTTGGGACATCAAGAATGTTCTGAGATCAGTCACAGAGAACAGAAAACTATGTGCAACAAATAAAGGAAGCCCAAACAACTTACCTCAAGCAAAGCCCGGATTGCAAGCTTTACAGTTTCTTGCCCAGAAGTTTCTTTATAGTTCTTCTCCAGAAACTCCCTTATCGAATTGGAGTTTCTTCCAGTTGCATTGGCTTTCCATGCTGAAAAAGTCCCAGAAGGATCTGTCTGATATAGTGATGGTGAATCTGTGTATGGATCAAATCCGACAATCAAAGTTGAAAGACCAAATGGTCTCACACCACCACTTTGTGTGTACTTTTGCTGAAGACCAGCAATGTATCGGGTTATGTACTCGACAGTCACTGGATCCTCAACAGTAAGCCTGTGGCTTTGACATTCAATCCGTGCCTTGTTTATCAACACACGAGCATCTGCTTTGAGCCCAGCACAGGCTAAAGCAATGTGATTGTCCAGGTTCACAATCTTCCTCACTGATCTGCACAGCAGAAGAAAGAATATGGTTATAAAGACAGTCCACAGCACAATCTCTTTTTCTTTTCCCTAACAACTACTCATAATGTTCAAAGGAAATTGATTTATGACATATATTGCATCCAAAACGAGCAACTAATGTGTGGTTTGTGCTCCAGTCGAAGGGTAGGTCTGCAAGGGGCATCATACAAATAGCAATCCCGCCAAACACCAAAAGGGCATATCCTTTGATGACCGAAAGGTGCATCATAGATCGATACAACCCTATCAACACCAATGTACATATAGGTCACGCATACCCTATATAGTTTTTTGATAACTTCTTCAGCAACTATCTTAATTCAATCCCAGTAGAGAATGCAAAGCACCAAATCAGATATTTGTATCAGAAATCTACAGGGCTTAGTTAATGCAGTCTACTGAAAGAGTCTCCGACAATTTAATAACTTTTCGGATTCGATTAGGACTTCCAAGCATGATTATTTTAAACAAATGGGCTGTCGAATACTTCAGAAATAAGTGAAAAGTATATTTTTTTCACTGATTAGACTAGAAATTCCACCTTAAAATTGACATCTTATTCGTCTTAAAATTGCAACGACCCAATTGAAATCTTGCCCATTACTTTCAACTGCAATTTAAGCCACCATTCAAACCAATTACAGCGATTAAAACCCAAAAAAATTTAGAAATCGATGCGATTCAAAAACCCTAACCATAAACCCAACTTCAATTTTCCTCAGTTAGATCAAAGCAAAGAAAACAAAATATGTACGTGTGATCTCGATACCTGGAGTCTTGGAGCTTAGCGGCGGACTTCTTCTCGACGCCGAGAACGATGGTGTCGGTGCCGCGGACGCCGACGGCGGCGTTACCCTTACGGACCGCCTCGAGCGCGTACTCGACCTGGAAGAGATGACCGTCAGGAGAGAAAACCGTAATGGCTCTGTCGTACCTCGCCATCTTTCTACTGCCTCGTCTTCTTCTTCTTTCTTCTGATCTGGGGTTTTCGGGGGAGCTGGTGCTTTTTGGCCTGGGAGCTCTCTTTCGCAGTGACAATTATATTTTGCTGTTCTCGACTTAGGCCACAAGTCACTTGTTAATTTTCTCTTCGCACTATGGGGGCAAAATGGTCATTTAAGCTTCTTGGTTTTTATGTAATTTACGAGAATTGTTATTGTCACAGCAAAATCTTCATTGTGCACTCCAAACTTCTATATTTAGAAGAAAAATACATTAATAAGCCGTGCACAATAAGAATTTTAAAATGTCAAGTTTGTAATTTTTTTTTTTTAAATTTTGGTTAAACAAACGTTTATTCACAAATCATGATGAATTTGTAACTCAAACTCATTTGATTAATACTAGATATTGTGTTTAATTCTCCCATTCTCTCGGCTCTAACTGAGCAACCAAGTCTTTTAATATGTTCTCTCCAGTCTACAAAAAAACGTCTTCGGGTCGTTTGATAACCCTTTTAATTTTTTGCTTTCATTTAAAAATAAATTTAAAAACTTGTTTAGTAGGTTGTATTTTTCACTTTTTTGAAAATTGAACACCGTAATTTAAAAGCTACATGTGTGAGTTTTCAAAACTTAGCCGATTTCGAAATCCGTTTTCATTTATTTGAAAATGAAAATATTTAAAAAAAAAATGAAAACAAACACTGAAAACTTAGTAACAAATTTGCTTGGCCAAATTTGTGTGAACTTTGATTTGGCCTAATTAGCCTGCAAAATACTTTTTAGTGTAATTTAGCAAAAGAAGACCAAGCAAAACACAAGAAGCTATAGGGGCATACGTGACATTTTAGTCTACATAATTAAGAGGAAAATTGGATTATACATCTCTAATTTAAAGGTTATAGGTTGTATTTTCCAAGTATTATTCCCTAATTACACATCAAAAAGGCTTCCTAAGCAAACTTTGTTAAATTTGCTTACATTTTTGCCTGATAAGTTGGAAAGTTAATTAGGTTGTTGTTCTAGTGAGTGAAAGGATGGTAGACACCATCAACTTGTAGTCAATTGGCTTTGTCAGATAAGCATCCATCCCCACCTCCAAGCACTTTGCTTCATCTGATGACATTGCATGAGCTGTTAGGGCAACGATCGGAATGTGCGAATCGGTCCCCTCCTCCGATCTCCTGATTGCCTTCGTTGCTTCATAACCGTCCATCTTCGGCATCTGATTCACATAAACACGCGCAAGTTCATCAACTTCACGAGTCATGACACGATGCGATGCATGTTTAAGAAACAAATTGTTACATTTACAATGCAGCCAGATTTGCATAGGATTTGTATAGGGTTTAGGGGTTCTTTAGTACTAATAAGTAGTAGGGTTTAATTCTTCCATCATGAATAATGTAATGCCGACGAGATTTTAAGAGCTTAAGCAAATAGATATGAAGTGTTTTTTGAGTTCTGATTCTTACCTGACAGTCCATTAGAATCAAGTCGAATGGACGGAAACCCCATGTTTGATTATCCAAGTTCGTATCTCCATCTTTCGAGTGAAATTCCTTTCTACAATCTTCTGATTTGTTCACACAGTTGAGAGCATCTACTGCCTGCAGTCCATCAGCCACAGCAATCACAGTAGCCCCCATTTTTTCGAGCATTATAGTTGCAACTCTCTGCAGTACCGGTGTATCTTCTGCGAGTAGAATGCGCACGCCTTCGAGAGATTTCTGTTGATTTGTAGTTCTACTTTTATATGAACAACCATTCTCTTTAGGACTGCTGGTGATCGAACGATGTTCTTGAACTTCCGAGTTTTCACATTGTGATTTTGTTGCATGGGATGCTTGATTGTTGCTCATTGCTTTATGTTCCGTATCTTCTGTGTCTTCTTTCCTTGAATTATTGTCTTTCGAGCATACGCTTGTGAGTTCAACTAAGCAGCTGTTAACCGCCTGGTACTGCGGGGAACTAGGTTTCATGATCCCGTCTCTTTGCTTTTCTTCGACATGAGATGTGTTTTCAGAATTAGAGTCGTTCTTTTCAGATATATCAGAATCATCAGAGCTACTGGGAACATAAAAATGAGTAGAATCGATCTCAAGGCATTCGTGCAAGTCACCTTCTTTTGTGCTGTTTGTCAAACTGGTTGCGGATCTCCTCTGCGTGTCAAGATCTCTCTCTGTCATGACAGTTTCCAAAATATGAACCATTTTCGCCTTGTACATCGGTTTATTAACCATCAAAACATACCCTTTTCTTCGGAGCTCCATCTTGACAGCGTTGGATGTATCATGATTCAGCATCCATGCAAAGTTTGCTTTCCCGGAGTATTTATCAAGGAAGTTAAGCTGCTCCTTCCATATATCTGTGCTCAGGTCAAGCAGCCCTATATCGACAACCATGACGAAAGCTGGGTTCCTCATGTCACGTGTATTTCGTATTTCACCTCTCAAAGATTCACTCAGCGAATACTGTTTTTCGAAACTGTTTTTATGAGATGAATTCCTGTTATGAAAGAGTTCTCGAAGAATTTGTGTCAGTTCATTCCACTCAGATGTTGCCAGAGTGAACACTCCTTTTTTTCGCAACCACTGGGACATAATCAACCTCCCCATGCTGCCGTGTAGTGCAAGCAGCACCTGCATTCACATTCAATCGTTAGTAGTATTTAGTAGATAAGTACAAGAAACCCATATAGCGTCTCAGTTTCTAGTTTCGGATAACCTGAAAATCGAAAAGAAAGTTAACTTACCACTACATTTTTCTTTGCAAAATCTACTTGACAATGTTGCTCCGTGCCATCTGCAGGCGTATTGAGAACCAAGTAAAATTGCATTAAGGTACCCTGCCCGTCCTTCTTTACAACCTTGATTTCTCCACCCATCTTGTTAACCTGTCATCACCACTATACAATTATTTGAAGCATAAAAGCAATCATGGAGAAGATGCAGAATAACATAACATTGTTGCAGATCAGGGTGAAAACTGATTAGAATTGGCGAAGTTTCAAGCGTGCAGCTGATTGTTCAAGGGTCATAACTTACACGAAACTCAGATAATCTTCGTGTTTAGGTGTCGTGGAATGTGATTTACTTTGACATGCATGACTACTCTACATAAGAAATTGTTAACTCACCAATGTTCGTACAATGCAAAGTCCAAGTCCAGTTCCCCCATGCCTGAAAAAAAGATAACAGAGATAAGCATGCTGGAAAAAACCACAGGACAGTGGAAGTTGCTTGAATTACTTACGTTCGAGTTGTTGAGGGATCAGCTTGCTCAAAGCTTTCAAAAACAGACTCCCATTTACTCGGATCGATTCCTGCAAAATATAGTAAAAAGATAAAACGACACAGTTATCTTGGGAAAAACGTTTTCCGAGTGAGTTTTTGCGCGTGTGCTTGAAATAAGGTTCTCCGTTGCATACCGCAACCAGTGTCATCAACTTCGAACCAAAGAATCATTTTGTTGTCGTCCTTGTTGGAAGCCTTTTTTACATGGTTGCTTTGCTTCAGCTTTGCCTTATGAGACGGCCACAAATTTTTCTGATCAAGAAGGATTCTCCTGGTGTCACCAGAAATGTTGAAGTTCTCGCATGATCCTCTAAGTATAACGTGACCCGCTGCAAACATTTGTCACAATTCGTCATACAAAACACAACAAAGGTTGTATAAAACAGAGCTTAGCGAAATCGTTATGGTATGGAAGTTTTACTTACATGTAGTGAACTTGATAGAGTTGCTGATTAGATTAGCAAATATTTGAACAACTCTTGCAGAGTCCCCTCGAACTAATTTCGGAATATCATCTGAAGAAAAAAAGATCGATCAAATAAATTTTCATGAAATAAATAGAATGACTTCTAAATGAAATACTAATAATTTCTGTTTAAGTAATACCAGAGAGATCTAAAACAGTCTCCACATTGTGGTTAATGCACTGCACGGAGAACATGTCGAAGAGCCCCTCGAGTTCTCTTCCCAGATCAAACTCGGCTTCTTCCAACACCATTTTTCCAGATTCAACCTGCAAAACATATTCCAACATAACCGATCGTTAGTTTCTTTTTCGGATAAACGGTGCAATGTCTCCATGTCTAACCTTGCTGAGATCCAATATGTTGTTGAGAAGCCGAAGTAGAGCTGTCGAGCATTTTCTGATCTGAGTAACTGTGGAGTATTGTTCATTTGTAAGGCAATCATCACTGATCATAATGTCCAGCAGCCCAATCACCGCCGCCATTGGTGTCCTCAGTTCATGACTGCAATGCAACAAAGTTACATACGGTTGGATTAGATCACAAGACGTGTTTTAAACTAATCTACGAGCAAAACCTGTATCTTCACAAGTATCTTCACTAAGAGATTAAGTATACATGATAATGGTCATAACAACTAAGTGTCGAAAATGCTTTCGAGCCTGGTAGCGTAGGTTTGTAACTAAAGAGGGCATTAAAGAGATTAGCTATATATCAAACTCTCGGAAATGCTGAATTTTTCTACCTCATATTGGCTAGAAATTGGCTTTTGTAGTTACTAGAGGCCTCAGCCCTTCTTCTTGCATCAAGGTGACTTATCAGTTCTGCCCTCAGCTTCATCTCCTTTGAAACTCCATTCGTGAGTATGAAAATGCAAACACATCCAATCACCAGAATGCAAAAGGATGCAGATATCAGTATCACCAACGTTTTGAACGCTCTTTCGTCTACCTTCCCCATTATATATTTTCGCGGAATGATGATAACCCCTACCTGCACAAACCGTAGCTTGATTTAGTTTCCTTCTTAAATGGTTTAGAGAAAGCCTATTCTTCACAGTCGGAAGCTTGACAAAATAAAATACGACACTCCTAATTAAACCGATGCCTTTTATGATGAAACATCACACTTACTGCGCTAGCACGCGGTTAAGTACAAGTTGAGAACAATACTGATGTTAGAGAAAGCCTACCAGAGGAAGTCTCTTTAAATTTAGAAAAAACGAGTCGATGTAATACTGCTGGTTTCCAAGCCTGGCATTCTCAACATGAACCTCGTGACTAGGAGGAAACTTGTTACCATAGGCTCGCTGCAACCATTCTGCTCCTGAGTGTATTATGCGATCCTCAGAATCGACAGCCATCATGAGCTTAGGCCCTCTCGTCGAATTCCTCAAAAGTGGAGCATTTGTTGACGTAGCAAGCAAGTAACCTTCTTGAGAAGTTAAGTAAATATGTCCACTGTGAAACTCAACAAGCTCTTTCATCAGTTGCCCTACACTGTACAGAGCTGTAGTAACACCCACAACCGCCACTACTCTTTTATTTGAAGGGTCGGAAACTGCCAGTGCAGCCGAAAGAAGTGGTGAATCCGAATACTTGCTCACCCCCACGTGCCAAGTGGCCACACCATCCGGTACTTGTGAAAGCCCTGCAATGTTGATCAGATCATCCGGTTGAATTTGGGTTGCTTTCCCTGTCTTCTCCCCTGTGACGGGATCAAGTGGCTCGCGGTACCATTTTGCAGAAATGTTGCCGTGTATGGAGTGATCACTCCACGCCTGATGTGTTGACAGTGCATTAGCATCATACGCACCACTTGCGCTGATCGAATAGTTTGCGAGATCAGAGTAGATGTAGTATGTATTGTTGCTCCTGTGATCTCTGTGGAATGCCTGGACAAAACCATTTCTGTAGTTTATAGTGATTGCATTGAGAGCCTTACGGCTCGCGAACATTGCCCACGTCACAGCCCTCATTGATTCATATAGCTGCTAAGAGGTCAAAAATGCATCAAATCAAGAACATAGGTCAAACAGTCTCAAATCAAATTAACAAGAACATGAAAAAGGCGTAACAATTCATCAACCTCCACTTGTTCTGCTTGACTGGTAGGGTTGCTGTTCCGTTTGATCACATACTCCGAGAGCTTAACCTGCGCTGCTGTTATTTCTGCCGTGGAATTTAAGATGTTCCACATCCTTAACACAGGACGTTGCAGAAGTTCATAGCGAAGCCCGTATGCTAAGTTGCTCAGCGATTTTGCAGTGTAGATCCTTGTGAAATGCCATGTCAGTATGGTTAGTAGCCCTATTAAAATTGCTAGCATAACCTGCACACAAAAAAACCATCAATATAACAAGGCTATGTGTAATCAGTGTGCTAAGTTTCTCCGTCCTGCAGATCATAGTTTGACACATATGCAAAATTAACTAGTCAAAAGCACAAATAGAACAATTATGAACACATTGAGCTGTACGTTGCCGGTAAGCAGGGTTTCTCAACAAGGCGAAAAATCGAGTGCCCTTTCAAGCTTAACATATTGATCATGTAGAACAAACTTTCAAATTTAGGAGATGCATGAACTTGTACTAACCATGATGGCGAGGCGGGCGACGAAGACGCTGTAGTAGGAGGAGAGGCAATGACCATTTCCATACTGGAACTGATCTCTTTCAACATCCCTATGAAAGATTCTTCTTCCCTGAGGAGTTGTAGTGTTGCTCCTTCTCCAAGGTGTGGCAAAACTTGAAATTTTATCAAACACTTTTCCTAGAGGAGTTGCCATTGGTGAACATTCATGAGAACTCTCACAAGGGACTTAAAACAAATCCTGCAACTTAGAGTGTGAGAGAGAGAGAGAGAGGTGTTGGAGAGGGTGGGATTATAAAATATACTGGTTTCCGAGTCACAGCACATTCTGCTTAATGCAATTGTGTTGTGAGTGGGAAGTGCTTGTGGGTGGTTTTTATTCCGGATGTGATATCCACACATCTCATTTTGCTTTTCACACATCTTTTTAATTTTCGGCCATCAGATCGGATGAATTAAAGAAGATTAAAGGACAAAAATTATCAAGAGGTGTGTGAGAAGTAAAATAGGGTGTGTGGCACACCACTTTATTCCTTCTATCAATCCAAAGCATCAATGCCACATCTGTCTAAAATCTGCTTTTTTTTCAATATTGCTTTTGCCCAAACTCTGACTGCTGGCTCTCTGGTGGTGCTTTTTGGATTTAAGGCAACCCAACCGGTTGTTCAAGGCAGAAGCCGACATTGGAGTGAACATATTTTTGGTGCTTCCTCCATTACAGCTATTTGAGAATTACATGATGTGGGTTAGCCAGGGCCCACCAGGATCATGCTACTAAAGAAACCTTATCAACTGGATATAATGTATGTTTTGTTTTGTCTTTTTTTTATACGAGCGATAAAGGAGAAAGAAAAATCGAACGTAAAATTTCGGTTGCAGGGTGAGTAAAAGTAGATCAATGCAAGTGGATCATAATTTTACATTATATTTAGATGAGGGAAATAAACTTGAAATTTGAATAAAAATCAGAATATATAAATTGACATACACCAATTCTTTGTTTGGTTTCATAAACATAGAAATTTATAATTTCTGCGTGGAAGAAAAAACTTGGAATTTGGAACCACAAATTCCCAAGTTTAAATTCTATGTAAATAAGTGTCATTTCCCAATTTCTATGATTGAGAGTTTAAAAATAACAAATTATGTATTCAATTTCTTTGTTCTTTTAGGTTAACAAAATAAGAAAATTTACAAATTCTAGAAAATAAAATCCCGTCATTTTAAAATTCTTTAGTAATCTTAAATTTCTTCATCAAAACATAGTGTTAAACTCATGCTACATCCATCAACTGGATTTAGTAGATTCAATTTTAATACTTTGGATGTTTACCAATGAAATTCACCAAATGGAAGATAATCTGAGTGAGTAAAAGGTTTAGCACCAAATTAAAGATGCTTTTGTTTAGATATTGTCGATAAGAGAATGAAGAATCGAACATAGGACATCGGTTGCAGATTTGATCACTTGATGTCTTTTTATCTATAATTTAACATCTGAGATCAGGGGCCGAGGGAAGAAGAGAATAGGATAGGCCTAGGCCTATCCTCACATTTTTTTTGCAAGTCTTCCCCTATAAACATCTTTCATTATTCTTCTTTACTACCCTTCTCCTATTAGTCAATAATACAAAACACATTATAAACCATCTCCTATTTAAAACTCCAACTCCCATATTTGATTCCATCCCAACACTAATTTAACATTTATTTATTGGATATAAAATCAATAACCTTTAACATTTTGATAAAACAAAAAACCTCTAAACATTAAACCCGTTCACTTTTAATTAAAACGAAAAACTTCTCTAGTCTTTCTTTCACAGTGCAACCCAGGAGCAAGAGTCCAAGACTAAAAAGCTATTATTCTTCTCATTTCTTGAAATTTCATATCTATTTTCATATATAATTCAAATTAATTCAACAAAAACAATACTATTTGTAAAATCTATCTTAATTTCTATAACCTTTTTATTGTTTCTCGTCTATCTTACATCTTACTTAAGTGTTAGAGTTTGGACCTTTTGATTAATTCTTCTTATTAAATTTAATAGTATAGATAAGAGGTTATCATGCTACGGTTTTAAAATATGAAAATTCGTGAGAGACAATTATGATTATTGAAAATATAAAATATTATAGATGCATGTTTTATAATGGTGTTTTGATTAGTAGTTTTGTAACTGTTATTTGTCATATTTTTTTTGCATTTGTGAAAGGTCCCTCCTCGCATGAAATTTTGGCTCCCCACTGTCTAAGATTCGTAAAATTTGAACTCAAAACCTCTTTCAACAGACTAAAAAGATGACGTTAGCGATGAGGATTCAATTTTTATACTTTGGATGTCTCTGCAACCAAGTGTCGAGATAATCTGAGTGAGTGAGGGTTAAAAACTGAGGACAATTTTACTGGACATGTAAGATCTTAGAAATTTCCTCCTAGAATTGCATAGTGGGATTCTCCCAACGATCTTTTAGTTTTGTCAACTGTCATCATGTTTCTTATTTAGTTGGTAGGTTGAAATGATTCGGAATAAAGCTTTGTAAATGTAACCTAGCTGGGGTCAAAGTCCTTAATTAAAGTTGTTTATACCATATTTAGGGCCTCCGTATTTAGATCTTGTACAAATACTCAGGGGACTTAAATGTAATTATGTGATAAAGGAATGGGCAAATATGTAATAAGTGAGGAGCCCTTATTCTATAAAAAGACTCCTCACCCTCACAATTAGAGGATGTCATTTCTTAAGCCTTCTCACCCCTCTCACATCCCCTCTCATATTTAGAGGTTCTCTCCCTCACCTCTCAGATAAATACAATATCAGTGTGGACGTAGCCTAAACCTTGGGGTGAACCACGATACATCTTGTGTTATTTACTTTCATGCAGATTCACGGTAGGATTTACGTTGTTCTAAGACCTCCGATTTTGTGCATCAACATTTGGCGCCGTTTATGGGAATCAGTACAAAAAGCTGTGTCGGTTCTCTCTCATTTTTTCACCTCTGCTGTGAATCTGCAAAATCACAAAAACCCAAAAACAGAAAAGATCCAAATCTCAAACACTCATCATAAGCTCACAGGGAAGATAAAGGTCATTGCTTTTTGGGTTTTGGGTTCGTATTTAGGAAACCCAGGGAATTAAACCTCTCTCTCTCTCTCTCTCTCTCATGAAGAACATCCCTTACTTGTCATCCATGTTTCTACACATGATCCTCAGGCTACTTGCCGCCTGTCTACACTCCTGGCGATCTGATCACCATTGCATGTGGGCCTATGATCGCCATTGCATGTGGGCATATCGGCCCCCAAATTCTTAACGATCGATCTTGGACTGGAGATAGGCACTCAATATATTCTCCATCAGAAGAACACCAAGTTGGTAACACATCCATCACCAAAGACGCCCCTTTGTCGTCTTCCTCCTCCGCCAGTCGAGTTCCTCACCTCGCAACTTTTCCTCTTCCACAAAAAACCCACCAACTCACTGAGTCCAACTCGTATTCGTCTTCCTCCTCCGGTGAAGAACCAGAAGAAGAAGAGCAGCATTTACAACAAGAAGAAGGAGAGGAAAATGGTTTGATTTATGGGCTGAGAGAGACCCCAAAGAGGAGTTTCTGGCTTGCAGATCTTGAGTTTTCTTTTGTCGATGCTGGGTTGGTGATTCAAGACAGGGAAAGTGAGACCGAGTCAAGAAACCCAACTCGAAGACGATCCAAGCGGAACCAGTCTTTGATACATCTCTGATTTGCATATATGAAGCAGGTGCAGCATATATCCTCTCCCTCCGTCCGAGTCTGACCCATCCAACGGGTCAACCCGACTCAAATACCGGATCTACACCACATCTCTGATCTGCATATATGAAGCAAGTGCAGCATATATCCTCTCCCTCCGTCCGAGTCTGACCCATCTAACGGGTTAACCCGACTCAAATACCGGATCTACACCACATATCTGATATGCATATATGAAGCAGGTGCAGCATATATCCTCTCAATCCGTCCGAGTCTGACCTATCCAACGGGTCAACCCGACTCAAATACCGGATCTACGCCACCCTTCTTCTGTCTGCACTTTTGCTCCTGCTCTGTGTACCAATGTTAGTGCTGAAATTCATGCATAACCCTCATTCTAGCGCCAAGTATCATTAAGCACTGCTACAGCAACATCTAACATGTGCATACACATTACAGCTTGCTCAGTACAGTGTGGTGTAATACATGATAGGTGCGGCAAACATGTGGCATGCGCGTTTGGATGAGCACAATGGCAATGATAAATGCATCAACAGTTAACACAGGCACGCTTAGTAGGCAGCACATGCATACTGTCACGGTAATTGAATAGTGTGCGATAAGCAATGTGTGTTGGGTTACATGGCATTAACGCTATCAAGGTGATTGTTTTGTTTATTAGTATGTAAACATTTGATACAGTGAAGGCGCATCTGCAGGCATTCAATGATACTATAGTAGAAGAAGTGGAGGAAGGGGCTCACGGCAACTGTAATCATTCTGCAACCTGAGCACATACAACACTGTGCTTATTTATGTGTTGCTGACTCATGCTGTTCCACACTCTATGCTCTGCAACCGACTATAGTTGCCAATCCAGCACAAACTCCTGCTCAGAGCTCCTCAACTCCCAGATTCTCCGATCCAGTTCACGTCGCCAAGCTTCACACATCTTAAACATCGTAGCTTTCGGATCATACAATCAATCCCAAGTTGCTTTTCAGATGGACCCATATCATTGAGCTGAGGTTCAATGTCGTGCTGGACAGAGAAAGCTGATGAAAGAAGATAAGATTTTTTTTTATCTGACGAATTAATGTGTCGACCACCAACTCAAAAAGAAAGAGACACCATCATAAAAAAACAGGCAAAGGCAATCATCCATTAGCAGTGGCATGGACACCACCAACGGGTCATCCACGAACTCCAACCATGCATTCACCTTTTATATATATTATCTCCACTACAATTATCTGCTGCAACTATGCAAAGCTTGCATGTGCCCATATCCGAACAACATGCAATTATATGGCGTACATGCAGGCAGGTGGGACTTTTGCGTTTTTCAACTCCAAAGTTTACGTTTTTCGAGGTTATCGAGATTTTTAATCATTCACTTGCTGTCAAGCTTGGTGTCCATTTCTTTTTGTGGGGCGGTGCCATTCAGTTTTTCGGCACAAAGCGCCATCACAGCAAGTGGCTGAGTGATACTGAGAACTATGCAATCAAGGGATATTTTGCAATGTCTGAGTTGGGCCATGGCAGTAACGTATGTTGAACGTCAGCTTGATCTACGCACAAGCAGAGCAACCACACACCACGAT